AATAAAGAGAAATGAAAACATCAGGAGCTTCTATAGGTGAGATAACTAAAGAATAAAATACACCCACAAATGCAAATGAATTAGATCTTCAATAAAGCCTTGTAGATATAATTTCATACTTTATGTACTTAAAATACAGGGAAGTGTGATGATATAAAATCATCTGTGTCTACATTTTCTTTAAAATTATTTCCTTAGAGTTTATAATCAGTATTTTAACTCATCCAGGGTTTCTCAACCTTATATTACAAATTTATTAAATAAATTTTATTTAAATAAAAATACATATGTTTCTGCTCACACAACTATAAAGTTTCTTGGATTAATTTACCCTATTAACATATGTCAAAGATTCTGATACATATAGCAATAGCCATAAATGCAAATTATTTCATATCTAAATGGCAATTGTTTCACTGTTCAGTTCTTTTTAGCTTTCTCTGACTCTCTTGAATTCTTTTAGTCCATAAATTCTACAAGCTCAGTAAGTGTTCATCTTTTAATACTTTCAGGATGATTACCATGAATGAAGGGTTATTATAGTTTAAATAAGAGGAATAGTCTTCAAAGAAATTCAAAAAATGCATTAAGGGTGCCATTTAAACCTACAACCAATTGGCAATGGCGATTTATTAACTATGCATTCTTCCACAGTAACAGTAAATGTTACACTAAGGAACATTAGGTTTAAATACTTAAATGGTAAAATAGATTAAAAAGTGATTTTACTTAATAAACAATAAAGTTCCTATATACTGACCTCCTCTGAAATTTGCTGCTGAAGGAGATAGTAAGGTACTCAAACAAGCAAATGGATGGAATAGGCTGACTCTCAGGTGGGTATGCATTTTCTATGGTTTCCCCCCGTCACCATAAAGAAGGATTACATGACATATTTTTTAATTGCACTGTCCAAAACTGGTGACCATCCTGTCCCTCCCATGAGACGGTAAAAAAAAAATCAAATTTGCAATAGACACAATATGAATGATATCCTTCCCTAGTTTGTATCAAAAGTAACAATAAATTCAAAATATAATCAGAGAAGAAAGATGAAACAAGTCAGAGGAAATGCAACTTCTAAAATATGACGGTATAGGTATACTAGTATAGACAGCATCAAGAACTCTCAGATATCTGACTTCAAATTTCTAATACATTTGGAATGAAGTATTTTTTTGTGAATAGGTAGTTTCCTTGTTACACTGTCAATAGAACAAAAATTTCAGGTCTCTATCTATATAATCAAACAATCATCATTATTCAATGGTAACTTAAAATAATATAAAGAATCTGGGTTCTATGGTCAGAGCCAGTTATTAATAGACTAGAAAATTGGAATTTGATTTTCCAAATTCCACTGATCTAAGAGAGGATGCATGTTATTATTATTATTATTTTTACCTATGGATTTTTTTTCATTTTTTAAAACACAGGAGTTCAGAGCCACTAAGGCCAATGCTCCATAGTAAATACCTAGGTCTTAGGTGGAGAGCCCTGAAGGACGACCCGCTAAGAGTAAGGACAGTGAAGCTAACTAAAGTAAACAGCTGTGTAACAATAAGGGCCTATAACTTAAAGCAGAATTTCAAATTTTGGGTTGAATAATACAGAACTATAAGCTCAGGAGAGATAACAATTATTTAAAGGAGTCTGTGCCTCCCCTATTTCTCTCACCAGTATGGTCAGAAGAATACTGGGCCTTTGGTGAAAGACCATTGAATGCTATGAGCAAATTTTTATTCATTCTTATTTTAAACAGTAGTAAAGTACTTCCCTATCTCAATCTCATTACAAGAAAGAGTGTTATGAGAAGCACAAATGTATTTTATAATTTATTGATCATTATTTATCTAGTTTGCACTGTGAAAAATTATGCTGTTGGAGAAATGACCATACATGGAGCATGACAGAATTGGAGGTCATTTGAGTGGTTCGTATAGGCAGTTGGTACATTAAGAATTACTAAGAGAAACATAATTAACTACCAGAATAAATCATTTGAGGATAATAAACTGAAATTCGTATCAATAAATTTATTCAGTGCATTACTAATTTTAGTCTACAACTTAACCAAGTCCTTTATTGGCAGTTCCTGCATAAAATAGAATTTTTTTCTCAAGCAAAATGTAATAAAATAAAACAAAGCTGGCATTAGCCAGTTAGGAGCAACTTATTACAGAAAGAATTGTATTTCCTCCCTGTCTATAATTTTTTTTTCTGCTTTATCTCCCCAAACACTCCCCCCCCCCACCCCACCCCCGGTACACAGTTGTATATCTCAGTTGCACGTCCTTCTAGTTGTGGGATGTGGGACGCCGCCTCAACGTGACCAGCGGTGCCATGTCCGCGCCCAGCATCCGAACAAGCGAAAGCCTGGGCCGCTGCAGCAGAGCGCGCGAACTTAACCACTCCACCACGGAGCCGGCCCCCCTGTCTATAATTTTGGTTCTGTACATTTAATCTGGACAGGAACATAAAATTATACTCCTTATATTCTTAGGTTCTTATGATTTCATTAGCTCTATAACTTAACTAGAAATACTTCTCCTGACTTTGTGGGATTGTAATTGTATAATATATTGGAGTCAGATAAAAAGATTACTAAATACCACACATTAACAAGGATTTATTGAAAAAACAAATAGGAAATAGATTTGTAAATTGTTATACGTAATCTCCTTGGGAAAGAAAGAAATAGATTTGTAAATTGTTATACGTAATCTCCTTGGGAAAGAAAAAAATGTTGAGGTATCTTGGGATCACCAAATTAAGATGACCTGTGACCTCCAGCATGTAATTTAACCTTTCTGACTCAGTTTTCTTACTATAAAATCAAGATAATTGTGTGTGATTTAATTCCATAATTAAGCCACAAACATTTATTCCATAGCTTCTAGGTGGCAGCACCTTTGTGAAAGGCTAAGAATATTAAAATATGAGATATTGTTGAAGAATTGAAAAGTATAAAGTATGTGAAAGCATTTTGTCAGGGATAATAAATTATGCAAACAACCATTGTATGCCATCGTGATTATAAATATTGTTCTAGAAGTGCCAGGAGCATCTAGCTCTCACCCCAATTGCAGAGGACCCCTATCGTGGAAAATTTTGCAAATAGAAATTTGCCTCAGCAAATAAAATGAATGATAAGTATTCGAAATAAAAAAAGTAGGATGGAAAATTTTTTAGAAACTGCTTTCTAATCAGGACAGAGAAAGGACAGTAAGGCAAATAATAAAGTAGTGACTTCTCTAGAACTCTGAGTTCAGAAGGCCTGACGTTCAATAGGTCAACAGTCTGGGAATGTGAAGAAAGTGTTAAAATTGCCCATCAGCTTATTCCCCATAACAAAACAAGAAAATCATAATGGAAAATTTTTTCTTTGATTAAAATTAAAAAAAGAAGAAAACATTTAAAAATACCAAACCCACTACAAAGAGAGAATAGGAAAAATAAACTGTTACTCTGCAATGTGAGATACCATTGAGAACAGTATAAATGAAAATGACAATTTTTACAGTAAGGACTAGAGAGAGAGACCACAATAAGAACACAAACTTCTGTTTTGACAAAGCCTACAGTTAGTGAGATTTAAGACTCTACACTCACTGACCCTACATCTTTCCAGAAACTTTACCACTGTTGGTTAAAACTGTTGAAAACTAACATTCCATAATGTCACTCTGCAGCCCCAGCAACACATCAGATTATAATGAAAACTTGAAACGACTGAGTCCCTTTGAGCGACATTCTCTCAGCTTCCAGAGAGTGTGCTCCGAGAATATGGTAGGCAATGATATAAAAATATAGCTCTGGATGAAGAAGCACCAAATAGAACAGACCTTACATTATATTCTATTTATATTATCACCCCAAGTAAATGATTAATTCTACAGAAGAATTCTTCAAAGGAGTGGGAACATTTAACATGGTTATGAGATTTCCAAAAGTTGGCCTATTTAATAGAAATATAAATATCCCTCACTTTATAAAAAAGATAGACTTCAGAAGACTTGACCAAAGGGAAAATTTCTAAAATTGTCAGCATCTTTTTAACAGCTGAAGATTCATTTCCAAAGAGAAAATAACCCTTCAGTTGAAAATAAAATATTGAGTCTGCATTATTATAAATACCCATTAATCCATAGGTTAATAATGCCCACTATCAATTCATATTGTCAGAATTTCTCTCATGCCTAGCTATTGCCTAAAACATCACATCTGCTGTTCTTGGAACCTTATTCCTATATTCTTTGTTTTCTTCCCCCAAAGTTTAGGTTGTCTAATAGAGCTTAATGACATTGTCAATAGAGTTTTGAACCAAACATGCTATTATTCTAATTTAGATATTCTGTAAATTTAAGGCTACTATTTAGCAAATTTCCATTCTTTACTTTGTCAATTTGGTAAAATGAAACAAACCATAAGTTTAAGTTCCTTTATTCTTTCTGTCACTTAGATCTCTAATTAATCTTTCCTATCAGGTTGCAATAAGCATCGGCCAAAGGGATTGTGGACTCAGCTGTCCTGGAACGCTTTAAGTATTGGGTCATTAAGTCACACAAGTTTTCATGTCTACTAATTCTTTTAGAATTAGAACCAAAAAAGTCACAGAAATTGACAAGGCAAAACAAAAAATATAAATATAAACAATCAGATGTAGATGAGAAGAAATTCTTCCAAATTGGAAATATGTTTTCTTAGATATATATCATTATAATACCACTAGAATATAATTATTCAATAATTTTATGAAATTCCTGGATTATAATAGCAATGATATCAGAAAACAAAACAAGATAAAACCTAAAGAATTAACAATCGGTGCCACACAGTAGATTTAAAAAAACGTATTTTTTTATGAAGCAAAAGAAATCAAGAAGTGAGAAAATGATCTGAGGTTCATTTCTATAAAATATCCCTTTCTTAAAACTTGGAGGAAAAGCTAGATAGAGGTCAAGGTCAAAGGGGAAGGAAATCATCAATACATTACTTACTTCTTTGTATCCAAAGATGATGCGTCCGTCTATGAGGAGGGTTGCCTGGAATGTGAAGCTTCCCAGGTTGTAATTATCCTGCAGATGTACATGGTCCCACTGGACAACAAGTGCTGTGCCTATAAACACCATTAGAACAGAAGAAATGCAATGAGAAAAACATATCAATGAATTCTAGTGGGAGTCTTCACAAAAGTATGGATCTAGCCTTCAAATCTTGTAGTTGCGCTATTTGAATTTTACATGGTTTGAATCCTGTTATTGAAATAGCATTCGGGATATTTTTAAAGAATTGAGTATTCTCTAAATATTTAGTAAATTCTAACCTCATACTGAGGTTAACATTGAGCCCAGTAAGGGGAAATTTTGCCTTAGGAAGTCCATTAACGTTAATGGGCACTGTCTGCTTAAATTTCTCTGAGCCTCTTTCAAAATGCAGCCCAAGTGGATTGAATGAACTTCAAATACATTTGACAAATGCTGAAAGTGAAAGGAACACATCCAGGAGAGCTATAATCACTTATAAAAGACCTGAAAATGTCTTTTTCATACATACAATTATACTCTTCCACGCTGAAGAAATTCCTTTAACATTAATGGGAATTTTCTTCTTTGATTCACAATGCCTGCATTTCTGTCTTTGTTGTATTCCTTTAAAGAGGCTGCAAGGTAGCTTACAGGGCCCCAGGCTAAAATTTCTGAAGCCCCCTTGAAATACACTGAGATGAATCTTCAGTGCTATATCTCATATTCCAATGAGTCAACCTGCCAGTGTTTATTATAAAGCTATTAACATGAAATATACATTGGAACACAGTATAAGAGCCACCAATGAGAATTCATATTTTGTTTTAACTGACAGTGTTTATTCTCTATTTTTTGAAAAGAAAACAAATGAGCAGCTTTTGCTTAGCTTAAAAATCTTGTTGCCAAAAAATGTTGTACAGAAAATGAAACTCACAGAACCAAAAGAGCAAAACTTACCTCCCAGATCAGTAAATATCTGAGTATGAAAGAAAAAAACCAAGATTTTATGATGGACAGCTTCTGGGTTAATGACGGTTCGGAGGTGCTGAGAAAGTAGTATGTTCAGAGAGGGTGTGGAAACTCCATACCCCTTCCCACATATCTTGCCGTAAGCATTTCTTCCTGAACTAATTCCTGTACCACATGATTGACGTAGAACAGAATACTGTCTTTACTGTGTTTTGGGGTATGACTTAATGCTGAGAGCTTTTGACTAAGATGAGGGCATGGGGGCTCCTGAATTTGCCTCCTCCCATGAACACGCCTAATGTACAGCTACAACCAAAGAATTTTCTTCTGTGAGAAATCCGGAAACTAGCTGAGTGACTGCTATACATCAGGTGACTGAGAAAATACCCACAATGAAACTGCATACATCTAGGTGCTGACTGTGATCCTCCCTGGAGCCCAAAAGAGCCAGTGGGCGCTTCCACCACCTTCTTTCTTTGGCTTACTCCAATAAAAAAACCAGGTCACCAGCATCTCTGCGGAAGGAGCTTGCACAAAAGTCTGATGTCCAGCTTTTGTGGTTGCCACCTTAGGGACAGACCTCCAGATCACCTAGCTCTGATAGACAATGGGATTTGCATTCACGAGTCCCATAGGACTGCAGTAGATAAATAAGCAATTAACAGGCATGCCCATGAACACTTGCCATGGCTATCTCCACAGGACTCAGCAGAGAGGGGGCAGGCACAAATGCCCATCTCCCAATCATCTAGACAGAAAATCAAAAAGGAAATACTGGACTTAAACTACATGGTTCATCCCAAAGCAGCAGAATACACATTCTACTCAAGCACACATGGAACATTCTCCAGAATAGATCACATGTTAGGCTACAAGACAAGTCTTAACAAATTTAAGAAGACTGAAATCATATCAAACATCTTGGCTGAACAAAATCGTATGAAACTAGAAATTAATAGCAGAAGGAAACTGGAAAGTTCATAAATATGTAGAGATTGAAAAATATCCTACTGAACAACCAATGGGTCAAAGAAGAAATCAAAAAGAAAATCTAAACCTATCTTGAGACAAATGAAAATGGCAACACAACGTTAAAACTTACGGGATGCAGAAAAAGCAGTCCTAGGAGGGAAGTTTATAATGATAAATGCCTACATTAAGACAAAACAAAAATCTCCAAAAAAAAAAAAAACCTAACCAATCTAACTTTACCCCTCAACAAACTAGAAAAAGAAGAAACCAAACGAAAAGTTAGCAGAAGAAAGGAAATAACAAAGATCAGAGTAGAAATAAATAAAATGGAGACTAAAAAGTCAACAGAAAAGGATAATGAAACTGAGCTGTTGTTTTTTAAAGATAAAAAAGTTGACAAAACTTTAGCTAGACTAAGAAAAAAGAGAAAAGACTCAAATGAAATCAGAAATGAAAGAGGAGATGCTAAAACTGATAACACAGGAATACTAAGGATGAGAAACTAGTATGAAAATTATACGCCAACAAATTGGGCAACCTAGAAGAAATGGATAAATTCCTAGAAACATAACACCAATCAATAATGAATTATGAACAAATAGAAAATCTGAACAGACCAGTTACTAGAAAGGAAATTGAGTCAGTAATTAGAAAACTCTCAAAAAGGAGAAGTCCAGGAGCAAATGGCTTCACTGGGGAATTCTACCAAACATTTAAAGAAGAATTAATATCAATCCTTATCAAATTAGTGCAAAAAAGAAAAGAGAGAACACATCCAAAGTGATTTTCAAGGCCAACATTAACCTGATACCAAAGCCAGATGAAGACACTACAAGAGAAGAAACCTACAGATCAATATTGCTGATGAGCATAGATGCAAAAATCCTAAACAAAACATTAGCAAACCAAACGTAACAGTACATTGAAAGGCTCAGGCACCATGATCAAGCTGGATTTATCCCTAGAAAGCAAGAATGTCTTAATATACACAAATCAATCAATGTGATACACCACATTAATGAAATGAAGGATAAAAATCATAGGATCATTTAAATAGATGTAGAAAAAGTATTTGATAAAATTCAACATCTTTTCATGATAAAAACTCTTAACAATTCAGTATAGATAGAATGTAATACAACAAAATAAAGTTCAGATATGACAAACCCACAGCTAACATCACACTTAAGAGTGAAAAGCAGAAATCTTTTCCTCTAAGATTAGAAAAAACACAAAGTCCTAGCCAAAGCAATTAGACAATAAGAAAAAGATAAAAGGCATCCAAATTGGAAAAGAAGTAAAACTGTCTCTGTTTGCAGATGACATGACATTATATAGAGAAAATCCTAAAGACTCCATCAAAAAATTAGAACTAATATTAGAACTAATAAGCAAATTTGTAAAATTGTAGGATACAGAATCAATATACAAAAATCAGTTCTTTTTCTATAGAACCGTAGAACAACTATTAGGAAGAGAAATTTTTTTAAAATCCCATTTATAACAGCATTAAAAACAATAAAATACTTAGGGATAAATTTAAACAAAGAAATGAAAGACTAGTGCATTGGGAAATGGAAAACATTGATGATAGAAATTGAAGAAGACACAAATAATGGAAAAATATTCCATGTTCATGGACTGGAAGAATTAACATTGTTAATATGTCACACCACCCAAAGCAATCAGATTCAATGCAACCTGCACAAAACTTCCAATAGAATTCTTCACAGAAATAAACAAAAATTCTAAAATTTATGTGAAACCACAAAGTCCCCAGTTAGCCAAGCAATCTCGAGGAAGAACAAAGCTTGATGCACCATACTTTCTGATTTCAAAGTATATTGCAAAACTAAAGTAATCAAAACAATATGGATTTGGCATAAAAAGGGACACATTGATCAATGGAACAGAATAGAGAGCCCAGAAATAAACCCATTCATATAGGGTCAATTAATTTTAAATAAAGGAGTCAGGAATATGTAATGGGGAAAGTACAGTTTCTTCAATGAATCATGTGGGGAAAACTTAATAGCCACATGCAAAAGAATGAAACTGGACCTCTATCTCACACCATAAACAAAAGGTCAACTCAAAATGGACTAAAGACTTGAATGTAAGACTTGATACCATACAACTCCTAAAAGAAAATGTAGAGTGCAAGCTTCTTGACGTTGGTCTTGGTAAGGATTTATTGAATAATTTGACACCAAAAGCAAAGGCAACAAATGCAAAAAAAATAAATAAAAAAAAAGTGAGGCTACATCAAACTAAAAAACTTATGCACAGCAAAGGAAACCATCAACAAAATGAAAAGGCAGCTTATGGAATGCGAGAAAATATTTGCCAACCACATATCTGATAAAAGGTTAATATACAAAATATACAAGGAATAGTTTCCATACAACTCAACAGAAAACCCAAATAACCCAATTAAAAAATGGGAAAGGATCTAAATAGCTATTTTTCCCAAAGACATAGAAATGGCCAACAGGTACATGAAAAGGTGCTCAACAGCACCAACCATCAGGCAAAGGCAAATCAAAAGCACAATGAGTTATCACCTAACACCTGTTAGGATGTCTATTATGAAAAAAGACAAGACATAGCAAATACTGGTTAGGATGTGGAGAAAAGGGAACCCTTGCAGTCTGCTGGTGGAAATGTAAACTGCTACAGCCACTATGGAAAACAGTGTGGAGGTTCCTCAAGAGATTAAAAATAGAACTCCCGTATAATCCAGTAATTCCATTTCTGGGTATAAATGTAAAGGAAACAAAAACGCTATCCCAAAGATATATCTGCACTCCTACGTTCATTGCAGCATTATTCATAATAGTCAACATATGGAAAACAACTTGTGTCTGTTTACGGAGGAATAGATAAGGAAGATGTGGTATATATACACAATGGCATATTATTCAGACTTAAAAAAGAATGAAACCCTGCCTTTGTGACAACATGGAAGAATCTGGAGGGCATTATGCTAAGTGAAATAAGCCAGACAGAGAAAACTGCATGGTATCACTTATATGTGGACTCCAAAAACAAAACAAAACAAAACAAAACAAAAAAGTTGAACTCATAGAAATGGATTTTAAAATGGTGGTAGCCAGGGCCTGGGGGTGGGGAAAATAGGGAGAGGCTGGTAAAAGAAACCATCTTTCATTTATAGAATGAATAAGGTCTGAGGGTCTAATGTACAACATGGTGACTGGTTTCTAATACTGTATTGTATAATTGAAAATTGCTCAGAGTGAAACTTGTGTTCTGATGAAAAAAAGAAAAAGGTAGGGGACAGCTCAGTAGAGCAATGGTTAAGTTCGGGTGCTCTGCTTTGCTGGTCAACGTTTGCCAGTTCGGATCCTGGGAAAGGACCTACACACCACTTATCAAGCCATGCTGTGGCAGGTGTCTCACGTATAAAAAAGAGGAAGATGGGCACGGATGTTAGCTCAGGGCCAATCTTCCTCAGCAAAGAGAGGAGGATTGGTGGCGGATGTTAGCTCAGGGCTAATCTTCCTCAAAAAAAGAAAAAAGGAAAAAAAGGGAAAAGGTAACTATGTGAGGTGATAGATGCATTAACTCTAAGGGGGGAATCCTTTTACAATGTATACATATATCAAATTATCATGCTGTATATTTTAAATAGAGAAATTTATACTTTTTAAGATAAAACTTTAGAAGTAAAAAAATTTGTTTTTAAATTCTACCTTGGTACTTTTAATCACAGGAAACACTCAACACATACCCTTGTTCTAAGGGAAAACCCAGGTGTCCTCCTTCCATGTGCATTTTTCTATCTCTAGTACCATTTTTTTAAGATTGGGAAAAGCAAAAGGATAATAACAGCCAAAAAACTTCACATAATAATAGAAGTAAAGGGGTTTTCTGGTCATGAAAGGCCTCTTAACAACAGCTTCATTTTCCTTCACGTGTCCAAAACCCTAAAGCTCTGTTCTCTTCTTTATTCCCTAATTTCTATTAGACATTTTGGCGGTGCAGAGAAAACATTGAATTAGAGGGAAGAAGACCAAGCCATGTGTCCTGTCTCTAATACTTTCTGCGTGACCTTGGACACAATTAACTTGCATGAATCTGTTTCTTCTCCAACATGGGAGGAATAATTCTTGCCTTCTAGAGATTTCTGCATGAAATACAAGAAAATATTTATCTCAAATTCTTTGTGCAAAAGAGAGGTCTAGATAAATTGAGTAATTAAATGTTTTGAATGCAAATTCTGATGAAGATATTCTTAATAGATTGTTAGTAGCAGGCTTTTGAAAATAACACTAAGTTCTGCAAATAAGTTTTATATTATGTAGGAGCATAGATCCCTCGACATTTTTTATTTAAATGGTTCTATATAGTACTAAGTTAAAAATTAAAAGTTGCTGAAATCTAAAACTTTATGGTATGCAGGTTAGTTGAAGTGGGTTTGCGAGTTAAAATCTACCTCTCTAAGCAGCCTCTTATATTACTCTCTAGGTAGTGCCCAACATGGGGAGCAATTAGGTAAACAGACCAGGAAGGCACTTTCCTTGGACAACTATAATGTAGGAAAATACACTCCTAAGAGAAAACCATGAGCGGAAGAATGGAATTCACATCTCTAAAGAGCTGAGTTAGCGTGGTCTATCTGCTGGTTCATGACTGACAATCCTACACTGTTTCTTTCATGATGGGCACAAAATCTAATGGCAGTGTTCCTTCTGTCAGAGCTGAAGTTGTTATTTAAGCTCGTCTACCAGACCACATGAGTTACCACACCATGCTGTGCACTTATTGGAATTGAGCAGTTGGAACTGAACATCCCTAGCGTGTTTATTTAACCAGAAATCAAACGATCAGTAATGGGTGCCAATTTTTCATTTCCAAAATAAAAACAGGCAAGTGGGATGAACTTTCAGTGCCATTTCAGGTCACTGTCAACTCCAAATTTTCTGATTCTATGCTCAATCAGGTTTCTGATCATCAGCAAGCATTATACTTTATAATTTGCTATTTATGAGCCATCAAATGATTTCTCTAGTAAAGGGTTTATTTTTACAACTTTTCTAGTTTTTGTGCATTAATATTCTATGACTCACTCAGACTTCAGTAATCCTCTAGGCTGCCTGTAACACTTGGAAGCATAATCTTATTTTTAAAATCTAGTGCTTAAATACTTAAAGAAATATTATCCTTGAAGAAATTTTCTAAACTGCTGTTCTCTCCTCTAGAGAAGTTTTGTTCTCCGAAAACGTTGTTTCCCATCCTTAAATATTCCTTCAATGACCCTAGCCAATCAAAGTTGGAAATATTTCAGGAAGTTGCTATCATATAAAAGGTCTTTGTGGAAAGCCTTGTAATATTCAAAAGTGCTCCATTCATTTAATAAAACACGAGAAATTACTCAGCTTTCATTAGCATATTGTAAGAACTCAATATTCCCATTGGTCATTATAGAGAAAACATATCAATAACGTAAAATACATTAATTCTTGAGTATCAATACTTTTACAATTCGCAGAATTAAAAACTTATCTTATATATTTAATTTTTTTCATTTATTCATTCATTGAATAATTATGGAGGGCCTACTGTGTATTGAGTTCCTGTGCCAGGTACTGAAGATAAAATTCTTATCGTCACAGTCCTTGTTTGCAAAGAACTTAGTTTCCAGTTGGAGTAGCATACATTAATTTTTAAAAGTCATTCAGATGAAAGTAACATTTAAATATTAAGAGCTATCTGGGAATATGGTGTGTGACAGAGTGTAAGGAGGGAGAGACATTTAATATGCTTTATGATTCTGATGCTAATGGTATAAAAACTTGGTCATCCGAATCCAGTGCCCATGAGTGAATGGCTCCAACATCATCTGGTAAGTGACAGAACTTGGAAAATAATCACCTTTCATCAAATAATTTCCTATTTACTAAGGTGATTCTGTCTGGGAGGTCGTGGAATAAACTTCAGGTAAGTTTCCACCTGTAGTTCTGCCTTAAGCATACTTACAATCTACGTGTACATCCTTGGGCGTTAGCACCTCGTTAATTTTTTAAAAGAGGGAGGATAGCATATAATATTCTTAAAATAATAGGGGGAAATAGTTATCATGGCTAACATTCAGAGTTACTTAATATTGGAACACATTTTGGTATTACTCAAATTGTTTGAAATGTATTTCTCAGAGTGTATATGCAAATATGTTTAGTTTCCTTCTTCCTTTGCTATTTTCACCTGTAAAACGGTTTCACCATTTTGTTCAGAAGATTGTTTTTAACAAAATGATCATTTCCCCAAAGCTACCGCTACCGTTAAATCTGTTCTACCCACTAGTAAATTTCTTCCTTGATCATTAAGACAAAAGTAGAAATAACTTTATTTACACCAAATGCTTCCATTATTTTATAAGATAAACTGTCATTTGGGCAAATAAATATTATTTTTGTATTATAAAGAGTATAGAAATTTCTATCTTTAAGTTTTCCAAAACAAACTCTTCTTTTCCATAATTTCTTTCTCACAGTGTTACAGGCTTCAATAAGATATAGACATGAAAATACATTTGTGTCTTAAAGACTTTGAATTTCTTAGTTAGATTTTAATAGCACTTAGTGATGTATTCTAGGTTTCCTCTGACTATTTTATATGTCTCCAAAAGAAATGGTAGCGATAGATTTTTGTCACTAACCTTGATCAACCGTAATAGGCTCTATTTCATACTTTAAAGTCAGGAAAACTTAATTTTCCTGTGTATTTTAACTATCCACCAACTTATATTTTTAAAAGGTGTGTTCTTATGGTACATGTAATTCATAAGGTTGGGAAATTTAATATCAATATACTATGCCACTTGCCTCTACTTGAAGATCAGAATAAAAAATTATCCCTATTTAGTTTTTTTAATAGGAAGGACTTATTGCAAATAGCATCAAATAAATGTGCTTTGTTCAGGTGTCATTTACAACAACTCATTTATTCTAGTACCTAATAGATGTTAATAAACATTTGTTGAACAAATGAATGAACGAATGAGCGGCATTTGACCATATACTTTTACTCCACATATTAACGTTAAAGGATAACATTTGTCATCTCAGAGCATTTGCATCAAGAAGTTTATAAGTCCTTCTACCAAAAAACCCACCAAGATTACAAAAATATTAATATCAGTCTGTTGCTAGATATTAAAAAGTATACATTTAGTGAAAAAAAAGGCTAACAAATACATACCATTATCAAAATATCTGACTGTTGAATTTCTGGATACACTGGGATCAAAATTTGCCATTAAAGGTGCTATGTACTGTGTGGCTGTTAGCATTCGATGTACAACTTCTCCAGTGTATATGAAACCTAGAATTAGAAAAATAGGAAATATATTAAGAAAAAACCCAGGTAAAATTTTAATTAAAATATCTTCAACTCAATTGCAGTCATATTTTGAAAACAAAATATCATAGTAACTAAAAAAAAGGGAACATAATGTCTTAATGTCTGATGAACAATAATTGGGTAACAAATTCTCATATGATTTGGTAACTTGTAAACCATAAATTTATAACATGTACAATTTTGATTGTGGGAAAAGTGACTGTTATCTGGAAGAGATTATTAGGCTGAAAAGGCTAATTTTGTACTATAAGTAATTCAAACACTGAATTTGCCATTATGAATCCCTTGTTATTTTAACACTAGCCAAACATGCAAGACCTTTTTACAAATGAATGCCTTTTCTTGATGTTGAATTGCATTTTCTTAAACTGCAATCTAAGCTTAGGACATTTTAGAAACCCCACATGGATATCTTTCACACTAAAATGCAGAAAATGTTTTGGGCCTTTTTTTCAAAGTTGAAAGGACTCTAAACACCCATGGAAAAACTTGTACACTTCTCAGATTGCTCAAATCTTTATGATCCTAGCACCCTACCAAGTAGATAACGATTATATGTTTGTAGATAAGACGGTAAAACATTGATAATGCACAAATGCCTCTCTATTTAGAGAGTTATCAATGCCAGCCTATTCTAGCAGTTGGACGAGAGGGAATTTACTATGGAGAACTCTGTCTTGAACTAACCTTCAATAGCTCCTATGTTACAACCCTATCCACTTTCAATTATCCACACTGGGTTTATTTACTTTGTGGATTATCCATGACAAATTGTTAATCCTATACTGGCTTCTTGCCTCCAAGGTCTTTAGCTGCCTGGAAGGAGAGTCTGCTCAGGGAATGCTACCTAATTTTAATATTAATCTAAGAAATGCACAATTAAGAATGTGTATGCAAATGAGTGTGTGCTTGTGCATGCACACACATACATGAAATATTACAAAATAAAATCCAAAGCAAATTATTTGTGACAATGCAATCGTAATGTTTAGCCAATCATAAATTAACTAGACATCTGGGGTTATTCTAGATCATTTTTCTATTTGCATAAAAATTAATAAAATAAAACAAGCAAGATTTTTAAGAACACAAAATTAAATCTCTAAAAGTGTTAGAACTTTTGTTGTCTCACTTCATGTTTAAATAAAGCTTTCATTAGCTTATTGTGGCCTTTATTGTTTCAAATTCTCAGTTGTAATTTCTAGGTAAATTATTGGAGAATTAAATCTATAGTTATTTACTTTGAAATTAATTTCTTTCTAGCAATGTCCTCTTTCCTTTGACTTCCTTTGCATTTTTCAACAAAGGCATAATAGAATTCTAGCTATTCATCTTAAAAATATACTTTTAACGGGCCCAGCCCTGTGGCCCCACAGCCCAGTGGTTAAAGTTCCACATACTCTGCTTCAGCGGCCCAGGTTTATGGGTTTGGATCCTGGGTACGGACCTACTCCACTGAGCAGCCATGCTGTAGTGGTCTCTCACATATGAAATAGAGGAAGACTGGCCCAGATGTTAGCTCAGGGCTAATCTTCCTCAAACGAAAAAAAAAAAAAAAAGAGGAGGATTGGCAAGAGACGTTAGCTCAGGGTGAATCTTCCTCAGCAAAAAAAAAAAAAAAAAAATTATATATATATATATATCTTTGTAACTAGTAAAATCTTAAGCATGTGTTTTAATCATGAGTTGCTCTTTGTTTCTCATTTGCTGAGCAATATCTTTCAAATAAATTCCCTATGTCTTGAGCAGAACGTTGTTCATTTGCAAATTCACATAGCTCAAGTGTACTAAGAATTATTACGATAGGATGACACAGTCATTGCTTTTATTTGATTTCCTCGTAGATTTTCAAAGCCATGCTCTTAATATGCAAAGTCCAATATCACATTGTAAAATTGTAAAGATGAAGAGTAACTATTGTTCAGGATCTATGATTTATGTTTTTCTCCTCTCCTCACCAGTATGCCTTTATAATTTCACCATTAAAATGGATACAAAAATTCTATAACTATGATCTTTTAAGGAAAAGATTGAATTATACTCAAAATGTCCTTTCAGGGTCAGCAGCTTTACAGGAACTTCCCTAACTCTATATACGCCACGTACTAATAGAAGAAACTTTGCTTGATTTGAAGAATAAAGAAGGCAGTAATTCAAGGCAGTAAGATAATTTAAAATCAATACACAATTCATTCTCTAAAACAACTGTGTAAGAAAAGTTGCAGCAAATCCTAGAAAAACAGAGTTACAAAATGCACAACCATAGATGATTTCAGATACTTAATTCTTACTGTTAGTATTTAAAATAAATAAGATGTATATATTTGTCCTGAATGTTCCTACATAGGTTTGGCAAAAAGGTATTCTCCACTCTCTATAAACCAATTTTCAGATCATGGGAATCATTAAAATGCTGCTTTCTTTCATCAGGAAAAAGTTTTCCGGAATTACAATTTCTCACATTTCAAAGGTGAAACCGCAAATTGTTCCCAAAGAAGTAAGTAAAAATATGGAAGAACTTGTTAATATTTAAAAGCGATAATTACAATTTGTGATTCTTCTATTTTTGTAAAATTAAAATAAATTATAATTACTGTTACTAGGAGTACTACAATTGCCACAACCATTATTAACAAGAAACAGCTACTAACACGTCTTCCACTACTACTAACGTACCACCAGCGTTAAGACCACCACCACCAACAATGTGAAAAACGATCCAAGGATGCAAAAACCCCACTACTCTGCAAAATGAGTTTAATTTTGCTAATTCAGAGAATACTTGTTTGTTTCCCTTAGCCATATTGAAAGCCGATGCCTATCAATATCTCAGGTGAGTTCTTAGTATCTAAGAAGTCAACGCTTGACTGCAGCGATCGTCTCTGCTTAGTTCTCCTTACATTCCTAGACTTTGAAAATATGACTTCAGGGGCCAGCCTGGTGGCGCAGCAGTTGAGTTTGCGTGCTCCTCTTCCGTGGCCCGGGGTTCACGGTTCAAATCCCGGGTGCGGACCTACGCACAGCTTGGCAAGCCATGCTGTGGCAGGCGTCCCACACAAAATAGAGGAAGATGGGCACAGATGTTGCTCAGGGCCAGTCTTCCTTAGCAAAAAGAGGAGGATTGGTGGCGGATGGTAGCCTAGGGCTAATCTTCCTCAAAAAAAAATCATTTCAGCAGTAGGTGGTTGAGTGGAGAGAAACCTTGCAGGCCTGCTGAGAGCAAAGACCTATAATTAGGTGTTGAATTAGAACCAGCTATGCAAATTAGAGTCTTTTAGGCAACAAAACTTCTCCAAAGTTTCAAAGGCACTCGCAGCTACTGATATCTCATTTAGACATTTACTTCTTTTCTTTAGCTGTCTTGGGCATGTCCTGCAGTAGGGGAAAAATTATTTCATTTTTCTGGTCTCTCACTTTGTTTTTTGCTGAGGAAGATTGGCCCTGAGCTAACATCTGTTGCCAATCTTCCTCATTTTGCTTGAGAAAGATTGGTCCTGAGCTAACATCTGTGCCCATCTTCCTCTATTTTATGTGGGATGCCACCACAGCCTGGCTTGATGAGCAGTGGGTATGTCTGCACCCGGGATCTGAACCTGAGAACCCAGGGCCACTGAAGTGGAGTGCGTGAACCTACCTACTACTCCACTTGGCTGGCCCCAGGTCTCTCACATTTCGAGGTAATTTAAGCAACATATTTCTATTGTTTTTTTCAAACTTGTTTGTAGTCATTTGAAGGGCTAATCATAAAATGTCCCCTTTGCTCACTCTGTCTTTCTAGTTTAAACAGATTCATCTCTCTAGTAATAAGATTTGTGAAAAAGTGTTTTTTACCCAGATAATTTAGTACCAGGAAAGGCACCTCCATTTAAATGATCCAAGTAAGAGAAGCAAATATGTTTTGCTTTTTGAATTTCAAATAATAGCTAACACAGTGCACTTCTCTTCTGCCTTAACTGCCAGTAAACCTAGAATGGAGTTCTGAACTCAGCTGCAATCAGCAGCTTTGCTCTTGCACCTGGAAGCATCTCTTTGGGCTGCCTTCTGTAGAGGTCTCTGGTCAATTGACTAACCTAGTGTTAAATCTGGGAAGCTATCAAGTCATTTGGGGATCCTATCATTGTAAGTTCTGGCCTGAACAAACCCCACTCAGTCATTATGTATTTATTAACCACAAGGATGTACTTACCAACCACAAATATTATTGTGATCATTACTGAAGTTAACCCACATCAATACAGGCCTTTACTGATCACATCATTTTCATGTATTCTCTTCATCGGATCCTTACAATAACTTTGAAATGATGGTACTATTATTATTATTTCCATTAATTAAACGAAGGATGTCATAAGGCTGGGTAAATTGCCCAAAACCACATGGCTAGAATTAGTGTTCTGATTCCAAATTTCATGACCCTCTCACAATACATTTGAGAATTCATTATGTGTCCAGAACGAAATACTCTCCCTCAGAGGATTTCATACTTAAGGAGTTTGAGGAAGAAAAGAACTGTTTTCTGTGTGAAAATTCCAACACCTATACCTTACAGCAGAGTTGTAGCTCCCTCAAATCCTGTACTTTTATTGTATTGCTTCAGCTTCTGTTGTTTTCATTGGTAAATTGTACAAATAAGTTTAAATTAGATTCCGCTATTACAGCCAACCAAATGGGACTTAGATTGGCAAAGAATTTATTTAATGTTAGAATTAAATTATTTCCTAGTTGTGAGACTAAGTTACTTGACCTCTCTGCGTCTCAGTTTTCTAATCTGTTAAATGGGGCAGTGATGGCATCAATATTGGGTTGTAGTGGTTGAAGGAATTGATACATGAAGATCACTTAAAAACAGTGTTTAAATAAAATCTGTGGAAAACAACCAATCAATTAAATTCCCTCTATTCTTTATCTCCTGAAGTCTTTTTCTGTCTAACGTATCCTAGTTGATTAGACATACATCAGAA